CATCATGATGAGCGAACGTGGAATGTAGGAAATATCAACAGAAGCCAAGCTGAAAATTTGCTGAGGGGAAAACGGGATGGAACATTCCTTGTTCGGGAAAGCAGCAAACAAGGCTGCTATGCCTGCTCTGTGGTGTATGTATCCTGATAATTTTTTGCATGGTTTTTGAAGTTCACAGTGACTGTGACTTCAGATTTTCTGTGAGGCACTGAATTAGGCTACGGACAGAGATTCCCCATTGCCTTTCATGGGGGTGGATCAGGCTACCAGGTGCAGGGTCATCTCCCCTCACTGCTGCTCATCTCTCTCCAGCAGAGCTCAGTTCTGTGGACCCCCCCAGAGAGGCCTTGTAGACAAGGGAGAGGAATAAAGGCATGAAACAGCTCCTGGATCCTGAGTCATTCAGTCCTTTGTACCTTCTGCCTACCAAAGCAGAGGCTAAAGCATGTTACAATAAGGATTCTGGTTAAATTAAGATATTATTCTTAACCCAGAGCGCTGCTGCTCTCTACATTTACCAACATTTTATTATTTCCTGCCAGTTTTCTCAACCTGAGCTTTGTTTCATAATATTTCAACTTTACTGACAACCTACAAACCACCTCTTGTTTTCTTGTTTCTCTTTAGGGTGGATGGCGAAGTAAAGCACTGTGTGATAAACAAAACGCCAACTGGGTATGGATTTGCAGAGCCATATAATTTGTACAACTCCCTCAAAGAACTGGTGCTACATTACCAGCACACATCCCTTGTGCAGCACAATGACTCCCTCAATGTCACACTAGCCTACCCGGTATATGCACAGCAGAGGCGATGAAGACCTTGATACCTGGGTTTTTTTAAAAAAAATGCAACAACATTGAGGCCTCAGGAGAGAGAGAAGGCTCCTTTCAACTTAAGTGATGAAGTTGAGCTGCAGTATCAAAGCTGTCTGTCTTCAGATGGAACTAGAGCTTTCTTCGCAACTGCAGAGGGAGAGATCACAGTATTAAGCTGTGAATGAATGTTTCTAATCTAAAGTGCTTTTTATTAAGAGAAAAACACGAAAGAAAGAAATGCTAAACCTGTCTCCCTGCAGGGACATAGAGGCCTTTAACCATGGTGCTTGTTTACGATCTCTTTGAAGCTTTACCAGCTAAAATGTTGGATTCTGCAGAGCCACGGTGTAACAGGTCTTTGTAATTCAGTTAACGGAATTTCTCGGCAGTGACCTGGTTCGGATTTGGTGTTACAGTACTCAGTGGATCCAGACACGCAGCATTGTGGAGTTTTGGTTTCTGATGAATGATATGTAGCAGAATGGCACTTTCGTTTATAAGGGACACTTTAAAAGGACTTCAGTTACAGTATGTTGTTCAGAAGAATTGATGTAATAACAAAGTGCCAGGAAGTGTTTTAGACATTTAAAATCCTGTTTTAAGAACATATTTAAGACTGAAGAAAACAGGACTTTCAATGGCATACAGTATATAATAATGTACATAATCCTGGATGACTAACTATCATTGGTGGAAAATATCAATACCAAACTGCTTCTATTTTCTCTCTTCTGTTTGCTGAAAGCTGAATCCTTAGCCTGTGCTATGCAATACTGAATTTTTTTAGGCTGTAGTTCTCTATCAAGTGTACCTATAGGCTAAGCTTTTTTCTCTTTTTCTTTCTCTTTTTTTGCCTGAAAATGTTTTCCTGATTATTATTTTGTTAATATTCACTTTGTTGGGTTTTTTGTTTGTTTTTTTTTGTTTGTTTTATAAGTGTACAGGATGCCAGAAAAGTTGGCCTCAAAATTGAAACTATGAAATATTTTACAGTTTTCTTTGTATAGAATATTGAGCTGCAGGCTCAATGTTTAAAAAGTTCATAATTTTTTTGACTAAATATTTGTTGGGCAGTGCCTGATAAGCTTCAAAGCTGCTTTATTCAATAAAATATATGAACATTACAAAGTATCATTGAGTCCAACAATATTGTTTCAAGAATATCTTTAGAATACGGTACCATGCTGTTTGCTTTGTAAAGGTTTTTGGACTTTAGTCTAGATTGTCTTTGTGTCTGGAAGAAGAAAAACGTGTATCCATTTCTGATGGTTACTGTAGAAAAACAAATGAAAAATTGGATACTAGAATAGTCCATTTTAATTTCAAAATTAATACATGTAGAGTCTTCATAGCAAGTAAAATGTCATCTTAACCTACCTTGGTAGACTTTTTGTTGGCATGTCAAGGTACTTTTCTTTTCATATGAAGGAAGTTTCTCTAGAGTATATGTGTAAGATTCCCAAGTTTATGCAGAACAGCAAGCTAATTAAGAGCAGGAAACCTTGCTTTTTATAAAAACGTTTTTGGGCTTTCCAGAATTAACATTCTGTAGTTTTTCACAAATTTATGAACTGAAAGGTATTTTCACCTTCAGGAAAAAAAATAAAATTTCAGGTACCAAAGAGTTGTAGGGTTTCTATTCAGTGAAAAACAAATTTCAGAGTCCCACTAACCAAAAGGATGTAGAATTATTTTCTGTGGTGGCCTCCAATTGTTTTCTCATTATTGTCCCTACCAACACACACAAACTTGTGCTGCTATTTCACATATCATAGATTAACAAGGCAGTTGATGGATGTGGGGAATCCTGAAGGTTTTTAGTCTAGCTGAATATCTGAGTCTGTTCTTCAGTTAAGATGCAAGTAGAACATCCATTATTACCTGAAAGAATAGAGCCCACTGAGTTCTTTGAGTACTGACCCTGCTAGAAAACTGTCTCTTAAGATGAAGTCTGTATTTAGAAATTTTTACTTTTAGGAAATATTATAAGAAAATTAGTTTATCACCCATGGTTTCTACATTACCATTCATTTCTGAGGCTGTGAGGTTTTCATTTTTATTTTATAAGCTTATTGACTTTGCTTTTCTCTGGAATTTTCTTACTTGAACCTAGTTTTTCATGTCAGAGAGCAAAGTTCAACTGCCATTAATTTATCAGAAATCGTTCTTTCAAAACCATGCTGAACATTTTTTGTTTTCTTATGTTTTTCTTGTGATTTTTTTTTTTCTTTCTGAAGTCTGCAACTCATCTCTTCTTCCCAGGCAGACTTCTCAAAGTAAGATAAGCTGAGTTTGTTTCTGTAATGACTTTCCTTAGGTTGTCAATTATTCTGGATTTAATGTCATTCTGAAGGGCTCACGATCATAAATCCATTCAGTATACAGCAATTCAATAACTGTCACAGTACATCAAAATATATTTCTGAAGTGTATTAATTTTTAAAAATTTAACCTGTTTGAGGTAAAATATTAAATTTGTGCTCTGAGTAATAGGAATGTTTCACTTAAAATACTTTCCAGGAAATAACATAAGAATTAGACAGTTGAAACCTGATTTTCCTTTTACTTATACCACTGCAGACCCAGAGGAATTTTACTGAAGTCAACTGGTATAATTCTTAGCTGGCACAGCTTGGTGTGCGATTCCATGGACTCAGGTGTGCTTTACCAGTTTGTCACCTGGGTTAGGGACAGAAATTACACATAAACTGGTATAAGTGATTGGAAACTGGTTCACATTTGTAACACAACAGAAGTCCAGTGCACGTATACCACTTTTGATAGGTCTGAAACCAGTTTTAAGATAAACTGTATGGATGTAGTGTCAGACTTAACTGATTTAGGTTAAATCAGTTTCTTGAACTCCTGTCGCAGATCCCCTTCAGATTCAGGTTAACTCACAGGCCCACCGCATCCCAAGATGCTTTGCATCTCCCCCACAACTCCTCCTTCACAGGGTGAGCAGCTAGACTTGGGCCAGACTGTCTGCTCCAGCTGAGCAGGAAAGGCGTATTCTAGCACCCCTTTGGCTTCTGAGCAGGACCACTGCAGGAAGGTGGCTGTATTTCTGGAATCAAAAGAGAATGTCTGTTCATTTTCTTATTGGTTCAATCTACACAGCTTAAACTAACCTATGAAGATTAAATCAATTCTGCCTCGGGCTTTTTGACTGTCTGTACTTAGCCGTGAATATCTGTTATTACAGGAGAGGAAAACTAGTATATGTGAGATTTGGCCCTCACTTTTCTTGCATAGACAACAACAAACGAGCACAAAGCTGAGACTATTTTTCATTAAGGCATCTTAAAGTGAAATTCTGCCTATGTAATCCTCCCATACACATTCAGGGCTACTTTAAAACCTCAAAATAGTGCATCAGTGGGATTTATATAGTATCTAAGCTTCATGTGGTCTTTCTCCACAAGGGTGAAATTCTGTAATGTGTTGTACCTTTCTGACGGCTGAGTTTCGACCCCTTCATGTTATACACTCCACTCCAATCTTGGTTGAGCTAAAACAGATGAATATACCTGGAAACTTAAACTTCATATGAACATGAAACAAAGATATGTTGATATACTGAAAACACATGGTGCTTTTAATATAACTTTTTATTCAGATATATTTTTTCCATCTACTCTGGTTAAAAGCTTTTGTGTTTTTAAATAAACTAAGTTTCTGCTGAGCCACAGTGGGGCTTTTAAAAGGTTGTTCACATGACCAACAAAGAAAGAATGTGGTGATCATAAGCAGTGTGACAAAGCAAGTTTTTGATTCTTTAAATTGCGGTTTGAATTTGGAGCCCTTGGTTGTGTTTGAGTGGATCATTATGTAGGTACAGTTTTTGCCAAATGTACAAATGTTGCTGAATCAGCCACATGATTTTGCTTGGTTGTCTAACACTCTCTCTCACGCATGCACACACACTTTCTCGCTCATGCACTCTTGCACACTTTCTCTCGTGCATACACGCACATGCACACACTAAGCATTTGTCAGTGCAAGTTTGACAGAAGGCTGAGTGTCTGTTTCTAAAAACGAGTAACTTGTCTTATTGGTTCACTTATAAAATTTTTTTTTGTCAAAAATCTGTAAAGCCAAATCTTCAAAATTTCTGTTTGATGTCAACTCTTCTGTAGTAAACAAATGGCTTTGTCTTGTAATTGGCAATGATCTATTATTGCTTGGGAAAACCTTCAGATGCTTCTAATTGGGAAAACTTCTGCTGATTTTTAACACAGTGCTTTTGCTATGCATGGTATTCAGTTGGGAAAGTGTATCCTGATACTGTTTTTCTTCAGGGTCACTTGAAATGGGCAGTTCGAAGCACAATGCCTCCCATGGGACAAGGTTCCAAACTGCAACGTTCTGTAAAGAATAATGAAATATTGCTATAATAGAAGACTAAACTGGACTGTGTGAGCTGTTAGTTACATTGCACTTGTCCCTATGAGACTGCATTAGCTGCCCAAGATGCTGCTATTTTTTTATTCTTGTTTTAAAAATAAATCTCTGTTCTGTTAAATGTCTTTAAAACATTAAATTTACTTTAAGAATGGTCTTTGAGGAGGTGAAAGATAAGACGTCTTGTAAATTGCCTTTACAAGGCAATACTAAAAATGTGCCTCCTTGAAATTTTTGTTCAAGCTATAGATTTGATGGAGCTGTGTCTTGTTTTTAAGTTGCTTTAAAATTGTATTAGGTCTTCAAACAGAATAAAGATTGTTTTGAAACTGCACTTTACTGGTTGAAGCCTCAATAATGACTGTTTAAGAAAATATTTTCACAGGTCACATCATTGCTTCTATTGTATCTTTGCTCCTTTCTTTATAACTAGAAATGAATGTGCTCATTGAGTATGTGATTTAAACTAACTTACTGAGTGGACAGTAAGAGTTGAACAACTGAGAGAGTCTTCTGTGTGGACTGATACTAAAAATAGCAGTTTGCTTAACTAGGAATCACTATAATTAAAATTTTGTCCTTTCTGCCTTCAAATTCCAAGTGTGATCCTGGCTTTACTGAAATCCATGTAAGTTTTTCATCTCTATCAAAATGGAAGTTAGCAGCATGTATACAATTCACTAAAGGAGCAGAAGAAACTAATATGAGAGAGAGGATAATTTTTAGTGTTGGTTTACCTACCATGCCTAGAAGAAAACATGTCTTTTATTTCCCAACTTTGTGAAAGACAACTTGGAGGAAACCATCAGGATCTCCTTTTCTGTTATTTCCCACTGAAAAATATGTGAAGGTTCAGGACTTTATTTGGGGAAGCAGGGTGACAGTTCTAGATGCAGAAAATGGTCCATTCTAGAATCTGCATGAGCGCTGTATAATATAATATAGCATAGTATAATATACTACAGCTCTTATCTCTGGGGGTTCTTGGTATCACAGCAATGCAAATAATTATTGTTGATAATGATGTTGTTAAAATGTATGGGGCATTCAGATATAAAATATTTATTATAGGATGCTATTAACTTTGTATTCCAGTTTATGTCAAGTTTGGGTGGATCGCTAACCAATATAATGTGCTGCAATTGTTGTCATTGAAATTAGTTGATGCTTTAAAACTAAAGCATAGAAACTCTCTTTTTTTTTCCTGCCAGACTGTATATTAAGCAACATACATTCTTCTCTTCAAAACAAGGAAATGTCTACATGATCCAGTTTCCATAAAAGTTTACTTTTTTGAGTGCTATTGAACTAAAAAACATTTTGTATTGGTTATTGGAATAATATATGATTGGTTAAGCATATTTCTGCACTGCATAGTAGATGTGTAGAAAACACCCTTGGCAGGGAACAGAAAAAGCAATTTGCAGAAATGTTGTCATTCCCTTTTGGTTGATTACATACACATCCAGATGGTCCATCTCATGCTACTGATTGCATTCACCCACTCTCTTTGCCCTGCCCTGCTACCCCTTTCCTGCTAAGTTTTGAGGAACTGATTATTTCCCTTCAATGAAAATAATCCTTTTTTGGGGTTAGAGGTTCTTTTTTGTGAGCCAGTTTCCATACTAGCAGCTTTGTCTGAGGTCATGAACCCAAAAAGAAGAAATAGAAAACGCCTCAGTTTGTTCTTCCTTCAGACCATATGAAAAATTCTGTTCAGGATTTCTGGAAACTGCATGGGTTTAATGTGACATCCTGAAGGATGCTACTGTTGGCCCTTCCCCCTTAACTCTTATTACTGGTCCCTTTTTTTCCCCCAAGCAGAATCTAGCAAGTTGCATGAATAGCCTCCATGGTTTAAACACTAATGTAACTGAATTTTCCTAATACATCAGTGGGGTAGCTGGGGTCACAGAAACCTCTTCCTACAAATGGATGGTCACGTTATAGGATTGTAGCCTATAAAGACTGAATGTCTTGGACAAAGTCACTGTAGAACTCTAGACTTCAGCCAGGAACAGGATTAATTATCTTACCCTCAGTCAAAAGTCTATCTAAATGTGGGGCTAATTTAGAATCACAAATAGTAGAAGAGGAAATCACTGAATACAGGAAGCTGTTGTCACTTTCCTGGCTGAAAGCAGTGCAATAAGCAGTCCTGTATTCCCTCAGGTCCAGGAGAGCAGACTTGATTGGGGTCTCAGGTGGACTTGAATTTCACTGTAGATATTATGCCATTAATAATAACTTTAGCACAACAAAACACTCCTTTTTTTAACTCTGGTGAGGACACAATTCTTATAAAGAATAGTGATGATCTTTTAAGGAACTATGCCCTCAAACAAAACAGCTGCCAAAATAAAAACTCTGCAAGGGCTCTTCCTACATTATTCAAACAGATATGTTGATCCATCAGCCACTATCCAAAGTTTGGCTGATCTATGTGGAGATTAGCACCTGAACCTCAAAATGGGGATTGATGTCATCAACCAACTGATTGGAAAAGTGCTGATGTTTCTTTGAAAAATTAGGAACATTAACCATGCAAGTGCCTGGCCATATCTATCTATTGTCAAAACTACATTGAATGAACCTTCCATATCATACCACAGGAGTTTAAGCCTTGATTTAAGCACATGAAGATACTCAAAGGAAGAAGATTTGACAGCTGGAGTACCCACATACCTACCTCCACTAGTCATCTAAGAAAACAAAAGCTCGCTCATGACAATATTGGGCATAAACACAGTTAAATGCTAAACTTAGCTCTTTTACTAACAACTATTTACATGGATGTTTAAGCCCAAACAAAACCAGGAAATATGTTCAAAATAGAGAAAATGTTTTCTCTGCACACATGGGTTTTATCCACA